GTCGAGGGACTCAACAAAACAATATCATATAGTCAGGAGACCAATTTTATATTTTACCCTAAAATTTAATAAAAATATAATATAATTATTTAAAAAACCTAAAAAATAGGAAGAAAAAAAAAAAGAATACCCTATAACCTTAGAGAAAAAATTATAGTCAACAATTTAACATTTTATTGGACCTAATTGATCATGATTTTAGATGGATCATTTTAACATGATTAGAACCCAATCCAATTGGACTAAAGACAACTGTTCGTGAGAATGAGAGACAGCAAATGCGGACCAAAAAGAGGCCTATTAAACAAATGATGCCATTTCAACTTCCAAGTCAAGATTTTATCCTATTCTTCGTACATTTCAATTCCTAGTACTTCAAATAAATGTTCAACGTTTGATCGAGTCTAGTCGAATTAAAAAGGTTTAAATTATTTAATTTAAATTTTTTTCAAATCGAGTTAAGTTTATAAAATTTGAATCGAATAAAAGTATTCAAGTTTATGTTTAAATTTAATTATAGATATTTATAATATAATGATATTATTTGCTTATAATTTAAATAGTTTTCTATGACCCTATATAATACATATATATTTCTTCATTTTTTCATATAATTAATAAAAAAGTATTTTTTTCATGTCATATACATATATCATATAGAGTTGAGAGACTTGACTCAAACTTAAAAATCAATTCACTAATTACTAAAAATTTTGAATTATTCAAGTTGCATTTTATAAGTTGACTTGAATATAAAAAAATTTCGAGTCAATTTTATGAAACTAAAAATCAATTCAAATTAAATTTTTCGAATCGAATATAAATCAAATAAATAAATTTTTTAAATCAAATCAAATTTTATTCAAACCATACTTCAAAGTTGCCCACAGTTTGTCATTTTGAAAACCAAGGTTCTTATATGGGGGAGGTCACTTCCAATCGTTAAAAAAGGTTAATGGGGAGTTGATGACTTTTATACATCTTCAACATATATAATTTATTATTTTCACAGATTATATTATATTTAAATTACTCAAATTTATTTAAATTAAAAATTAAAAATTATTATATATTTAAACTATTAATTTTAAAAAAAATATATGATTGTTATATCCCTTTTGTATCTCATCCAGAAGTCACACTCGCATTATTATTTCTCTATTTAGTTGACTTCTCGCATTGTTATTTCTCTATTTAATAAGTATTGAAAATTTCAAAATCTCATACTTTCCGTAATTTCTTATGATCTATAAAACTTAATATTTTTTTATAGTTACAGATATTGATGTGACATCTAATAAATTTATTAAATTTATCAAAATTAAATTTTCTTATAAGATATTATATCTATTTTTACTATTAATTTATATGTAATCATCATGATGACATGACATTAACACTAGGAGTTAGTATATAAACTATAATGAATAATTGAAGAGGAATCTTTAATTATCTTTTTCAGTCTATTTCTCTTATTATCTTTTTTCAACTCTTTATTTTTCAAACCTATTCATACAACTACCAATTATAATTCTTCATTTAAATCAAAATATATAAATTATTTATAATCATCACAATTTATTTATTTATTTTGATGATTATAATTATCAAAATTAATAAATAAATTATTTATAATTATCAAAATAAAAAACAAAGTGATTATGGAGGTTCAAACTTGAAAGTACATGAAGGGAAAATAATTAAAATATTAAAAAGAAAGGTGTGCCATTGATATCAATCCACAGATCAGAGAAGAGTACACTGAGCTTTTATTTTCCTGGCTGCAACTTGATTCTGACGTTTCTCAGGTTTTTACCAAGTCTTCCCCTGCAAAACCATACAGTGTGCTTAATAATGTAAGCTTGCAATTATTTCAGACACAGCATCTCCGTAGTCTTATTGTCACTGTTTGTAGTCTAACCTAAACTACCCGTTAAATTGGCAAAACTCACGAGATATTACTGTAAAAAAAAAATTCACGTGATAATGTTGTTCAAGAAATAATTGTTCAAATGGTGTGAATTATACAGTGCATGGATTGATCGCCATGCAAGTCAAACGAGATCATAGGTCGCCATACACTCGGTGCGACCTTGTAGGTCGCCATGTAAATGGCTCGAATTCCTCCGTGATTCTGCTGAAATCACGACGAAAGTGGTTCTGTCTCCCTCACCCCTGTCTCCCTCATACATGCAGCAATGAAATCACGATAAAAGTGTTCTATACGAGCTGTGGCGAGAGGATGAAGCTTTGCTACGAGTTGTGGCGAGAGGATGAAGCTTTGCTACGAGCTGTGGCGAGAGGATGAAGCTTTGCATGCGCTATGCACGTCGGAAGAGGTCTCCTGCATGCAGTGGGGAGCAAGCGAGCATGCAACGGGGAGCAAGCGAGCATGCAACGGGGAGCAAGGCGCAGGACATGGTCGCCCAGCGTGCATGGCGACCTACAAGGTCGCCTGGCGTGCATGGCGACCTACAAGGTCGCCCGGAGGGCATGACGACCTATGCTGAGAAGCTGCCACGCCGTAGGTCGCCCGGAAGGCATGGCGACCTACGGCCAATACTGTGCAATTCACCCTATTTGAACAATTAATCTTGGGAGTACGTTATATCCTTAAATAAAAAATTCGATAACATTATCTCGAAAGTTTTACCCCGTCAAATTAATGGCTAAACAAATGAGATTGTCAATAGATAAAATAATAATAATAATAATAACAAAGAATTCCCTCAATGATGGCGAACAAGAAAGGAAACCAAACCAGCAGTTTCCACTTTGAGACAATAGATAATGTCATGTCAGAAAACAAATACTAACTAAAACAAAAGAAATTTCAGAAGATAAGAAGACATTGGTATAATGTTGCCACCACAGTGAAAATATCGAATAAATATACGATTAAAACCCTTCAAACCCATCTCTACACCCTTTTCACTGTATTTTTCATCAGATTCTTGTGTGTCTGGTTTAAGGATTGAGGGTTACTTTGAAAGAAAGAAAAAGAACAGGGAAGATGTTGGCTATTTTTCACAAGGCATTTGCTAATCCACCAGAGGAGCTGAACAGTCCAGCCTCTCATAAATCTACAAAGAAGCCTAAACAGCCTGAAGAAACCCTAAATGATTTCCTTTCTCGTCACCCTCACGGCACTTTCTCCATGAGCGTTGCCAACGCTGCGGTCTTGGCTTATGTCTGTCACGAAAGCCAGCCTTCAATCAATCGGAGGTAACTCGTTTTGTATGAGAAAATACCTCATAATTACGAAAGATCAACACCTTGACACTTGTTTTGCAGGTTGTTTTGTGGGCTTGATGACATATATTGCCTCTTCCTAGGGAGCTTGAACAATCTGTTCATGTTGAATAGACAATATGGGCTTTCAAAAGGGAGCAATGAGGCAATGTTTGTGATTGAAGCTTATAGGACCTTGAGAGATAGGGGTCCTTATCCTGCTGATCAGGTGGTCAAGGATCTTGATGGTACCTTTGCCTTTGTTCTCTACGACAGTAAAACCGGAACTGTATTTGCTGCACTGGTAAACAAAAACCATCACCCCAAGCTGAAATTTTCGAAATTTAAACCGAAGGGTATCCTTACAAACAAACAAAAATTTCGATTTTTTTCTTCTCTCAGGGCTCTGATGGTGGTGTTAAGCTGTACTGGGGAATCGCAGCTGATGGCTCCGTGGTGATATCTGATGATTTAGAGGTCATCAAAGAAGGATGTGCCAAATCATTTGCGCCTTTCCCAAAAGGTATACCCTTAATTTGCTGTTCAAGATCTGAAAAATGAGTCTGTTTTGAAAATGTTTCTCGTGTTCTTCAGGATTCATATTTCACAGTGAAGGAGGGCTGATGAGCTTTGAGCATCCGATGAACAAAATCAGGGCGATGCCGAGGGTTGACAGTGAAGGAGTGATCTGTGGTGCTAATTTTAAGGTTGATGTTTACTCTAGAGTTAACAGCATTCCACGTGTGGGAAGTGAAACTAACTGGACTGACTGGAGTTCCCATTAATGATACAAATAAAAAATAAAAAATGGGAAACTAAACATATGCTGCAAAGTTGCCATGGATCTGTACTTCTTCCAGAGATTAAACAAACACTAGGGTTTGTTTTGGTACTTTATCTATGCTGTGTTTTTGGTGTTTCTTTGGTGTTGTAAATAATGAGCTTGAATACTATAGTTCTACTTTTCTTGTGACTTTTGCCATTTGCCTTTTACTTGTAAGGGTATTTTCCTAGAAAACTTAATAATCAAAGAGAGTTGGTGGGGGAAAGTTTCAATTCAATTTGCACATGTTTTACCTAAAATCCAAATCTCTGTGTTTGTAACCATAAGGTCCAAACTCTGCTGTCAAATGGATTCAAATGCAACTCCCAATAGATTTTATAATTTTCCATTTAAAATTTAAATTTAAATTAAAAAAGAGAATTTATTTTATTAAATTAAAAAAGAAAATTGCAATTTAAAAATAATTATGAAAATTAAAAAATTATAATTTTATTGGACAACACTATAATTTGTTCCACGAATGTTTATCTCAAATATTTGAACAAAATTCTTCTACCCTTTTAAGTACTCTTTTCTATGTTTCACTAATGCTTCAATGTCACATGTATTAAAGAATTTTATTCCACATGTTTAATGCTATGTTAATCTCATATGCAAAACACTAGTTGCAAAATTTTCTATTGAGCTTTTGAGAAATAATCCAGAAAAACTAAGTAGTCAAAAATATATATATATATATATATATAGAGAGAGAGAGAGAGAGAGAGAGAAGAGAAGAGAAAGACGGACTACAATGCAATAAAGACGAAAGCTATTGCCATACTTGAACCTTTCGTTTGGATTACGCTAACCTAGCTAATAACCATGACTGCTGCTTCCCAAGTAAAATGACTGTTAATGTTCTCTGCGACTGGTTCAAGGGAAGCTCCACCAATAAATTCATAGGCCAGAGGAACACGCAGTAAGCTCACACAGAAAGTAAAGGCTACAACTCTCTTCCTATAAATTAGTAACACATAATTAGATGTTCTTCATTGTTATAGCATAGATATATCCGATTAAAAAAACAAAGTCATGAGTTTTCGTTGTACGTTCATGGAGCTTGCTCTGTTTTCTATTAAGCTAACAATCATGGCAACTTCAGTTGCAGCTCAAGCAAAACCTGGCTGCCAAATCCACTGCGGTAATATCACCATCCCTTACCCTTTTGGAACAGGCAGTGTTGAATGTTACATCAATGAGAGCTTTTTCATTCGTTGTAACACCAGTTTCCACCCCCCGAGAGCGTTCTTAACCACCACCGATATCGAAGTTCTCCATGTCTCCGTCGATGGTTATTTGCGAATCCGATATCCTGTAGGCTACGACTGTTATAATTCATCGGGAAGTAGCAGCTATTTCAATGCGGGGTTCACGCTCGGAAAATTCTACATATCTCACACGAGAAACAAGTTCACGGCCATCGGCTGCGACACCTACGCTTACGTCGAGGGTTTCGTCGGGCGGACGTACTCGACCGGATGCGTGTCGTTTTGTTACGACGAGGCAGATGTAGTGAACGGATCGTGCTTCGGCATCGGCTGCTGCCAGACAGATATCCCTAAAGGAGTGACGGATTATAGATTAAGTTTCGATAGCTATTGGAGTCATTCCAAAGTGTTGAGCTTCAATCCTTGCAGCTATGGATTTGCAGTGGAAGATGGAGTCTATGACTTCTCTCTATCACATTTTCTCGACCATAATTTCAGCAAAAAGAAGTTCCCCATTATTATTGATTGGACAATTGGGAACGAAAGTTGCAGAGAAGCTAGAATGGATCCACAAAATTATGCTTGCAAGGAAAACAGTGCTTGTATAGTTCCAGAAAATGGTGGTGGATATTTGTGCAGGTGTCTTCATGGTTTTCAGGGTAACCCTTACCTCTCCCATGGCTGCCAAGGTAAAGATAGCATCTTCGTCCTCAAATATGTCTTTAAATTAATCTCTGAGCTTTTAAATATTTTAATTTCATCTCCAAAATTGTAGATATTAATGAATGCGAGACACTAAAGCCTTGCAGCAAAATATGTCATAATGTTGTTGGAAGCTATAGTTGTTCATGCCCGGAGGGTTTTGACGGTGATGGCCGGAGAACGGGAACGGGCTGCACCCCTAAAGCCAAGCAGCGTTTCCCCATTGTTGCCGGTACACTAGGTATATGCATAAGCCTCTTAGTTTCACTCCTATGCTGCTCATGGGTGTATTTGGGGGTCAGGCAGAGAAAGCTCAGCAAACTAAAACATCACAACTTCCAGCAAAATGGTGGGATTTTGTTGCGGGAAAAGCTTTCGGAAGGTGAAGAGTACGGTGCGACGGCTAGAATCTTCACGGTCGATGAACTCAAGAGAGCGACGAACAACTACCACCAGAGTCGAATCCTCGGACAAGGAGGTCAGGGTACTGTTTACAAAGGAATATTGCCCGATGGTCGTAGCGTCGCCATAAAAAAGTCGATCATCGGAGATCAAAGCCAAGTTCAAATATTCATTAATGAAGTCATTGTGTTATCCCAAATCAACCATAGAAATGTGGTGAAACTCTTTGGATGTTGTTTGGAGGCACAAGTCCCTTTGTTAGTCTATGAATATGTAAGAAATGGAAACCTCTTTGATCATTTGCACTGCACGGATCATGCATCGGTTATACCATGGGGAGCTCGGTTGAAAATCGCCACGGAAGCGGCTGAAGCCCTTTCCTATTTGCACTCTGCGGCGGCTCCGCCAATCATTCACCGCGACGTCAAGTTGACCAACATACTTTTAGACGAGAACTACAATGCTGAAGTATCCGATTTCGGCGCTTCAAGATTGGTCCCTTCGAATAAAGAACATATAACAACACTTGTGCAGGGAACACTAGGCTACTTGGATCCCGAATACTTTTATACAAGTCAATTGACGGAAAAGAGTGACGTCTATAGCTTTGGGGTTGTTCTCGTGGAATTACTAACCGGTTTGAAAGCGGTTTCGTTCGACAGGCCAGAACACGAGAGGAATTTGTCTCTGTACTTTGATTCTGTGATGCAAGAGGAACGATTGCTGGATATTATCGATGGACGAATAGTGGACGATAGAAACATTGAGCAGCTCATGGAAGTGGCAACTTTAGCTAGGAGATGCGTGAGAGTGAAGGGAGAAGAAAGACCAACTATGAAGGAAGTTTCGTCTGAATTAGAAGGATTGCGGGCAATGGTGAAATTCCGACGGGAAGAAGGTGACTTATACGAGGTAGAGTTTGAAGAACTGCTTCATGACTTCTAACATTTATGCTTACTTGTTGAATCCTCACTTATCACTCGTGTTGTATAATAGATTTAATCGTGTGCGCTACCATATTTCTGTAAACTGATCAAACTATCATTGATAATGCAAACAATCGATTTATCTGAGTCTTTTGAGTTTATTCGATTTCGATATTTTTTTCATTCAATTTATTTAATTACTGTTATATAAAATGAGACAGAGAGAAGTAACACACTCCATCTTCCACCGCAAATCCATAGCTGCAAGGATTGAAGCTCAACACTTTGGAATGACTTCAATAGCTATCGAAACTTAATCTATAATCCGTCGCTCCTTTAGGGATATCAATCTGGCAGCAACCGATGCCAGAGCAAGATCCGTTTATGACTTCAGCCGTGTCGTAACAAAACGACATGCATCTGGTTGGATACGTCCGCGCGACGAAGCCCTCGATGTAAGCGTAGGTGTCACAACCGATGGTCGTGAACTTGTTTCTCGTATGAGATATGTAGATTTTTTCGAGCATAAACCCCGCGTTGAAAAAACTGCTACTTCCCGATGAATTATAACAGTCATAGCCCACCAGATAACGGATTCGCAAATAACCATCAACGGAGATGTGGAGGACTTTGATGTCGGTGGTGGTTAAGAACGCTCTTGGAAGGTCGAAACTGGTGTTATGAAAAAGCTCTCGTTGACAAAACATTCGGCACTGCCTGTTCCGAAAGGGTAAGGGATGGTGATATTGCCGCAGTGGGTTTGGCACCCAGGTTTTGCTTGAGCTGCAACTGAAGTTGCTATGATTGTTAGCTTAATAGAAAACAGAGCAAGCTTCATGAACATACAACGAAACCCCATGATTGTTAGCTTAATCGGCTCTATCTATTATATAATATTGAAGAGCATCTAAAATATCTGCATTTATAGGAAAGCTTGTTTGAATATTCAAAGTCATTTCCTTGGTAAACAAAAGAATATTCAAAGTCATTTTAGTTGCGAAACAGCAGTCACTAGCTTTAAATGTACGTCTTTGTTGTATTGTAGGCTTTATCCAATGGCGGGCCATAATGAGTGCAAAGGGGCTTCGAAAATATGTATATATCATTTCTCCATCACACACACGCACATATAGTTAGGACTGATTTAAGATCGCTAGATAAGTGTAAATAGACAATGCTCCTAGGATCACAATTACCATTGTAACAGCAGCAGAGGTACGCCTTGTCACCCTACATTTTTCCCTTACAAATTGTTTGGAAAGTAATTGCAGTATCCCAGGACCCTTTTCTGTACGATGCTGTAAATAGACAGGTTTCCGGAGACAAGGACTTTCTACAAATGGCATTGGATTCCGGAGAGATAGTTTGGAAGCGTTGTTTGTTTAAGCGAGTTTGAATCTGTCATGGTATAACCAGGAATGCCTGTGTGTTCCTTTCACTGCATCGATTGACTGGCAATGCGGAATATTTATATAGGGCCAAAGTATATGCTTCCTTCCTGTCCGATAGATCAGAGAAACTCGTAACAGAAGGAAGATGCATGGAGGTGATCATCGTAGTCACTCTTTGAAGGTATAGGAGGAATGACTTATCTACTTTTCGACATGGTCGAACCATCTCAGGCGAGATTCCCTTAATGAAATTTAAGTTGCATTCAACATATTTTTCTTGAGTTTCTTGTATGAAAAGACTTCCATGTTAGCGTGTTAAATGTTGTTCAAGACAATAAGAATTGAGTGAAGAAAACGAATTGTAAAAGAATTTCATTTTCAATTCAATAGGCTTTTCGCCCTATCATCTTAACTCTACAATTTCTGATATCAGAAAATACATCTGTATCTAAATTCATGGTGTAGTTTTTTTTTCTCTGAACAAAATCTATACTTTCCTCATTGCTCAAATGGAGTGGTTTTTCCATTTCTCCCACGCCCAATGAGCAGAGGCACAAAGAAAGGAATGAAACTCAGCTAATATTACTAATCGCAACCAATAACTCACTCTCTGTACACGAGTTCACCAAATGGCCCTTGATGTTCCCTACCATTTTCTTTCTTAAGCTCGTTAGATTCGAACCGGCAATCCAAAATTTTGGAAAGTTTTGATCTCACCTCGTAGTCCGGCAGTCACAATCACCATACCCCAGGCTGAGATGTTTGGGTTTACACCAGGGGAGAAGTCCACACTGATCTTGGGGCTCCTGGTCCGAGTTGCGAAAAGAAGCTTCTCCTCTGGCCACGTAGCCGAGATTCTGTCGAAGAAGTAGCTATTGGTTGCACTAGAAATGATTCCGTGGAGAGGGCTATTGGTGCACCCAGATGCTGATAACAAACCCTCATTTCCACTGTACTCCTCAACGGGTGTAGGAGGATGATTGGCTGTTGAAACTTTGTTTATATGGTCCTCAAAAGAATTTTGATCATTCAACTGAGAATCTCCAAGTCCCCATGTGTCACCCATGCCTGGCCAAGGGATGGCCACAGATACATCTTTACAGTGAAAATGTTCATAAGAAAATGTTCTGGTGACTCCTTTGTTTCTGCTAGGCCGTGATTCTGCTTCTTGTTTCCACACGTAAACATAAGAGTCCTCGCTAGCAGAGACAACATACTTTCCGTTTGCCGTAACAGAAGCTGAGATTTGGCTGTTTGTGTTCCGAAATCCTGTTCCGAAATCAACAGCAACTTCAGCTGAATCAGCACAACTCCAGAACTGTTTATCAATACATACTTGACGACAATGATTAAACTTTTTCAAGGACAAACAAAGTTAGCATCCAAATCTAAAACCGAAAAAACAACTCTAAAGAGTTGATATGCAGACCATGATACACCAGTACATACCATCTCTATATAGTTGACGTACGTACGAATATGAAGAGTCATCCTCAGTCTTCCCTACTTCCTAGCTCTCATCGAAAATCACTATCATCTATGGTCAATCCTTTTCAAATTCGACCATCCTTGCATTTATATTTATATTGTACAAATATGATGAATTACCTTTAAACTTGTGAATTAAATCAGATCCATCAACAACACGTATTCGAGAATCTGCTGATGTGATGAGTACTTCCGATGAACTTCCAGGTGCAAACTGTTGCGAGAAAGCAACCAATTGAGGAAGAATAAAGTGAACACATGACGTCAAGAAATATGTAATAGATTCGAGTAAAGAATATCTAATTCAACTAGAAAAGGATTTATGCTTTCCTTCCATATGGATTACCTGGAAACCTGTAATTTTCTTATGATGAGATTTCTTCTTTTTGTTCTGCAAATTGATTTCACTTCTTGGTTGTAACTTGTTCTCTGGAGAAAATGCATACATGCAAACGTTTAAGAAAACTTCCGTGGCAAATGAACCGTATGCAGGCACAACAGAGTTGATAGAATTCATGAACTTGTACCTGAAGTATCGTATAAGCGGCAGCTTCCTTTGTATGAGCCAACCAGTGCACCCTTCAAAACAATTACAAGTTCCATGAGCAAAAAACTGTATGTTACATAGAATGAACTCAACATTGATCATTGCCCAACCTGGCCATCAGGTGTATAACAAGCAGCAGTGACCATTTCATGCAGATCATTCCAATCGACGACTTGACGATCAGGAATGCTCCATATGCGTACTTTAGCGTCTAGTGATCCACTAATGAAGTATCTATCATCAACTGGATTAAACTGGATGCAAGTTACTGTGTCAAGGCAGATCCACACAAAAAAATGATGCATGATTAGCAATACATAAACCTATTTCACGAGACAGAACATGATAAATAAATAACAACATATTACTTTCATGGTGGACCTTCGAATTGCTGGTTCCATTGAATCTACACTAAGAACGCTTAAAGGAGTCTTACTTTTTTTCCAACTAATACATAGCTTATTACAACTATGAAAATGGGTAAGTTTCATAACATTTACCACCACTTCCTGAGGGAAGAGTAACTTTTTATCAAAAAAAAAAAAGAGGGGATCAAATTGAAGGCATGAAATTTACAATTTACTTACCATAATCACTGTGTGAAAATATTCTCAAACAAGTCTTGCTAATCAAGTCCCAAAGCCTCACTGTTTTGTCCATTGAAGATGAGAGCAATTGCTGAAAAGAAAAAATAGAAAAATGTTTGCCAGAATATACTCCTGCAATTTATGGGTTCATGAAGCAGTGAAGCTGGAAACAAACATTCATAACAAAGTTTTCACAATAACCTCTCGAGAAGCTTCCTGCAAATAGAAAAGGAAAACATAGATTCTAGACCGAGTACAAGACTTCAGCATACTTCAAAATTTGAAGGACTTTTAAGGCATTCAATTATGGATACACGCCAATAACATTTGTGAGTGTTTTATCAAAAATTGTGGTGGTAGAAAAATTAGCATTTCTAATATTTTAACTCAATATTAAAGATGTGCAAAACTCGAAAATAGTCTCTTGATGATCTGAAAGAGTATATAATCAGAAACAGTAACATTCATGAGTTATACAAGGTACATTAAGGGCATCATTTGGCAACCTTCGCCAAAATCCTTGGCAAAGGAAGAAGGCATCAAAGACTATAACCAAGACCATAGAAAAGGGATAAAGACACATCCAATAGAAAGATCAAGCCTCTCGCCAGAAAATTCACTCTTTAAACAAATAGAAAGCTATGTAAGTCAACAATGTGAATGTATACTTTTCAATAATGCTCATGTTGCACATGACGGAAAAAAATGTGTAGTGAACTTGTTAGATCATTTCCTTCATGAACCAAAATACAGCCTACAAAAATAAACAGCAAGAATTATGATTTTTGGTTCCCAGAACTCAAGACCTAGACATATTTAATACTTCACCATGTACACAAATTTCTACTTCTTGTTTGCTAACCAATTTAGAAGAAATTCTACTACATTTTGGTATTTCGTGGATCCTTTGCGGGTAAAGGTGACAAATTACAGTTTTGTCAAGAAAAGCATGGAGACAAGTAACATATTGACCATTTATTTCCTCATGGAGTGAACACACAAGAAATGGCAGTAGTTCTTGCATTTTGATGAAATTCACATTTACACAAATAAGTTGTGCCTTTTTCATATATAACATTTCATTAAATGCATTGTACACAAAAGCCCTGGCTCTGAGTTTCAATTTGCCACCAAAATTTGATCAAGAAATCTGTCTCACACAGCACAATTTAGAAGAGAAAAAACAAAAATGCATTCTCTGTCTACTTCGGCTAGCAGGTAAATATAACACAAATGCTTGTTAAAAGGAAAGCTCAATAATGATAAAACTAATCACTCTATATTGGTACATATTTCTCAACATACAATAGAGCATTAAAGAATGATGACTAACCTGAGATTTGGACCATGAGAGGTCGAGCACATCATCGGAATGTCCTCGAAAAGAACAAAAAGGTTTATCTGAAAGCGCAAAAACAGTATCTGGCACCACAATGTGGTCCAAGCTCAATGACTTTCGGCCTATAGACGACCTTCCTCTTCTCTTATTCTCAGGATGGTGATCCGAAATTGGGGACAATAGAGTTGTTTCCGGAGATCCATTAGCCACAAGCAGAAAGTTCAAATTCACATCATCGGCCTTTTCCATCAACAATTCCCCTTTCCTCTCCGACTCAACTACCTTCCACACATGAATTTCACGATCCTCACCAGCGCTAGCAAGGTATTTTCCATCCAAACTAAACTTAATGCTCCAAATAGACCCAGTGTGGGCTTGAATCTCTTGACTTTTGTAAAGAGCAGTGAGTTCTTTACATGATTTCCCATACTGCTTCACCCTCACTCGCTCTGGCCCATGAAACGAAACATCCTGGCTATCATCCGGTGCCGAACTTGATCTCCTCCCACCCTTCTCCGATGCCGTATCCCTCTCATCGCTACTACGCCTTTCCTTATGACCCATCACGGTCACACTACCAGCAACACTCTTCATGCTCTTAAACCAACCCCCTTTCTTCTTAAACTTGGAAACATCAGCAGCAGCAGCACCATAGGCATTCAAATCTGCACTATCCTTATTATTACCCTCTTCCACATTCTGCCGCCTCATCAGTTCATGAACTATAGGCGAATGCCCGACGCACATCTCGAACTCCTCCATGGTCAACTGCCTCCCGGTCCCAACTTCCTTCAACTTGTTCCACATCCCATCTTCTCTAATCTCCTTCACTACAAACTCTTTTCCATTATCAAGGTTCTTAATGGTACACACTTGTTCACTGGGATTCTCCGCCATCGCATCTCCGCCATCAAATGATTTAGACCCAAGTTCCCCATTCATACTCTTGCTACTCCGCCCAGTGGGCGGCTTATTACACATAGATCCATTGCTTTCACAGGTTCTTAAGTTAGGAGCCGCAACATTAATACGATCGCATTCAGTATTATTATTATTTACAAAAGACAAAGCAACGGAGAGAATCGAAGAAGAAACAGAAAGCTCATTACAATCACCATTTGATTTCGATCGTACAATTCCAGAAGAACTATGATCTTGCCCCTCTAACTCTTTTTTTACCAAACGATCCGACGAAACTGATCTTCTCTCAAACTCGAGTCCTCTCCCTCTAGCATCGCCAGCACCCAATTCTTGTACCGGACCCACTTCCGTTTCCGAGCCGAGTCTTGTCCGGGAAAGACCCGGGTCGCGGCTGAGTCCCATTTCACGGAGCAGCCGGCTTCTTCTTTCGGAAACGGAGGCGGGTTCGGAGATCCAGATGTCAAACTTGGAAACGGCCATGGGGAATTTCGGGACGGGGAATGGGTGGCGGGCATTGCTGGAACGGGTAATTGGGTCGGAATCCGAGTCGGAAGAAGGTGAAGTTGAGTTAGAACAGGAACAAGAATTAGAAGAAGCAATGCGATCAAGGGATTCGTAGAAATACTCTTCTTCTTCTTCTTCTTCGTTTACTTCGACCACTTCTTCCCCTTGACTTTCGTTTACTTCTTTAGATTCTTCTTCTTGGGTCGATTCCTGGTCTTTCTGGTTGTTATTGTTATCAATGGGGTTTTTGCTCATGCTTCCTTTATGGGCATCATTCCCATTTCAATTCCAACACATGAACCATCAAAAACCAAACCAAACAAAATCTGGGTCGAGATTGTATCAAAGGAAGGAAGAGGAAAAAGGGTGTTTGGAGGGAGGGAAATAAAGGGAGAGAACAATATCAAATGAACGAAGAAAAAAAAGGATTGGTGTGAGGAAGGAAGAAAGAGAGTTGAAAAGGGGGGGGGGGTTTGGTTTGATGTGTTTGTGAGGGAGAAGTGAAGGGAAAATTGATATGATTTGGTTGGTCTTGGGTTTTGGGTATTGGTTATTGCAATGTGAACTGTGAAAGGTGGATGATTTCTCTCTTACTAATAAAATATTCTCACTAACCAAACAGAAGGAAACAATACGAGAGGTTAAAGAAAAGCATATAACTCAAACCTCTAATGAGAATAATCTTGTATATAAATTATATAAAAATTAAATTAAAACTTCATATATATATACAATTACACAAAACCAATGTTTATGTATACAGTGTACATTTCACTAAAAATCATATATAATTTCAACATTTTTAGTTAATTTTTTATTATTATAAATATATATACACTCTTTAATGAAAAACTAATTTCATTGTTTTGGATATTCGTTTTACACATTTTTTGTCTATAACATTTATTAGCTTTTTATTCATTAATCAATTAGATCTAATTTCAGCCTAATACTCGTCAAAATGTTAATGAATATTTAATTAATTAAACAATTTTTAATTATTGCATCACATGGATTGTATGGTTAAAAAAGGAAAGAATTGGGCCTAAAGATGAAGCCATTGAGAGCCCAACAAATTGCCATTTGGTGAAAGTTGTTGGAAATAGAAGGAACTAAACCTAAGCAACTACCAACTGTTTTGTCTTCAATCCTCACACATGCTGTCCAGCCCATTACTATTAAGTGAAGACGACAACTCCCATAGCTTAATATTTCAACCACTTTTGGGGACCAGTTTCTATTGTTTTTGCCTCCCTCTTCCTTTCTTTTTCATTTTTCTTTTAGGGTTTCAAAAATCCCCCCTTTTTTACTTTTATGGCAAAAGAAGATGATGATGATGTTTTCTTCTTTTTAATGTGTGGGTGAATATTTCTTTTTCATAGATTTCATATGGTAGGAATATTAATAAGTATATATTATTGTAATTTATTTAAGATTTTACGTTCACTCGATATAATTGAGATTCATAATTTTTAAATATTAAAAGAAACTAGAAGTACAATATGATTGGATCTTTTTATTAATCGATACTTCTAAATGAATTATTATTTTTTATTCGAAATAAAGAACGATTAATTGATCTCGATATTTAAAAAAAAAATACAAAGATTCAAGTTTAAATGTTTTTTTTTCTATCATTCATGTATGTTATATGATTTATACTTGAGATTCATGTATACATCTCTTAAGAATGTGATCCATAAGATTTTAGCTTAAATTCTCTCGTTAATAATATATTATACCTTACCACTTCAATCGATGCTTATATGTTAAATTTCAACAATTTTAATATCATATAAGGTTAAACTTTACAATATCATATTTTATAACAAAACTTACGGTAGAGTATACTAAAGTCATTGAATTATGTTTAAATGATCACTAATGAATTATGTTTAAATTATCACCATAGTCACTAAACTTTCAAGAGTTACAAAACAATCGTTACTTTTTTTGAACGATTATAAAATAGTCATTAAACTTATCCAACTTTTACAATTGTTATAACATCTTTTAGTGACCTGGTATATTTCATCCTACAAATTTCAAATGGGAGAATGTCAATAGTAAGGAGAAAGAAGTTTGCTATAATTTGAGCATGTTAGTTTTATGTGTACATAAATTTTGAGGTCTCTAAAGGGGGGTGGACTAGTCTTAGAGACCCTAAGCCTTAGGGTGTTTGACTATGTCAAACAACATTGAGGAGGAAAAGAGCATAAAACCAGGACGAGTCAAAGATGGAGAGAGCTTTCCTTTTCTTGAAATTGTTTTAATCATTCATATAATGCCTTTAATCACGTGCTACTTGTAATTGCCTTTGGTTTCCCCTCCAACTCCCCTCCAACTCCACCCATGCCTATAATGGTAGACTTGCTCAATCTAACATTAATTTCGGATTTAATTTGATTAACCACTCTATTTTAGAAAATCACTTATCATAAAGTTAAAATTCGAATTTTAAATAACCTATCAAGTTATTTTAATGGTAAAAAAATGTTATTTTTCTTAGAGATTATGAATTCGAGTAGTTGCATCTACAAGGTATGTAAGCGGTGTCAATTGATTAAGAAAATTCTAAAAATGCATTGTAATCAACTCGTACTATTAAAAAGATCGAATTTTAAAATTTATAACCACCCTTCTTACGTTTCGAGTTAAAGAAAATATATAGGTTTCGGGATCAGATTTGTTCTACAAAGGTTGAAGGAGGTTTAGGGCTGAAAAACACTTCTATTTGGAACAGGGCTTGCATTATTAGTCTCATTAAGAAGATCCTTGCAGGCGAAGGTTCTCTTTGGGTGGCATGGCTCCATAATTACGTTTTTAAGCACCGAAACTTTTGGCAGTTTGAAGCTGGGAGAAATAACAGCTGGTGTATCAACCGAATTCTCAAAATGAGGACCATCGCTTTTCCTCTGATTACTTCAGGCATACTGCACACCAATGAAATTTGGGACAAGATTCGGATACAGCGGCCAAAAGTTGAATGGCACAGGCTCATTTGGTATCCTATGCATATACCAAAGCATAGCCTGATCGTTTGGATGGCCATTTTGAACAGGTTACCTACCAGTGATCGGCTACAAAAAATGGGAATAAATAATGCTGTTATTTGTGTAAATTGCAGAAACTGTAATGAAACAAGGGATCACTTGTTTTCCATTTGTCCTATGGCTGTCGATCTCTGGAAATCTATTCTTCTACTGAATGGAATGACCTTCACAGCTCTGACTTGGGAAGCAATGGTCTCTCGGGCGTGCTTAACGTGGAAAGGGAAATCCCTTACTACCACAATCTTGAAAATTTCTTGGAATGCTTTTATTTACTTCCTGTGGCAAGAACAAAATCGTAGAATGTACCAAGGCCGATCGCGTACTGCCGACAATTTGCTTAAGGAAATTATCGAAGTTGTTGGTATACGTCTTAGGGGGAAACCTATTAATAGACTAAATTGCACTAATTTTGCCCTTTGTAATGCTTGGGGAATTGTATAACCAACCACTGATTTTTTGTGTATCTTGTTCATTTTGTTCAGTCTGCTGATTGGTTTTGGTTGTAGCATAATTTGTTATTTTGGGTAATAAAATTCTGGTTTATCCAAAAAAAATATATAGGTTTCATTGGTGGCAAAATTCACAAATTTAATAAATTAGTAATTGAACCATGAAAATGGATAAGGGAATACCATTTTAAAAATATTTTACATTTTTAAAATTTTCGAAAAAAAAAGAAAATTTAATATATTTCCTCGAATTATTTTACCAATATATGTCACTGTGCATTATACTTCTAAGAATAGAGTCTAAATTTAAACTTTGAAAAAGATATTAGAGAAAAAAATATTAATTCATAATATAAATTGTAAAATATTGATAAAAATAAAATATACATATATTAAATGCATATTCATGTCTTACTAAGGATGGACACATAATTTTATGTTAGTGTCAAATTTACAAAATTTTAAGGAAATACGAACTTATAAAAAATTTTGAAGATAAAAATAGATTTTTAATAAAAAAAATATACAAAAATATATAAAATATATAAGAATTTAAAATATTCGAAGGCGACCGTCCTCATTTACTCTATCGATCCATTTTTATGCCCTACCTCACACATCCACGCTAAAAAAATGTATATTTTTCAATTTATTTCTTCTCTATCCCATGAAAAATGGGGTGACTTCTTAAACCTAATAAACAACTTGCAAAGCAAAAACCAGATATGATTGATTGACAAAATAATAATAATAATAGAGGGTTACACATCTGTGTATATATATATATATATATATATATATATCATACGACCTTGAAAAATGGACCACAAACACATACAGACATGCTAGGAATTAATATAATTTAGCCAAAAGTCACATAGCTATGAAAATCGCATCATTTAACCTTAAAAAATGTCTCTTTTCCCCTTCAAATCTCAGCAAAAATGGTGTAATTACAACTCATTCTTCAACATGAAGCACGAGGAGCTCGTGCAAGAATTTTATAATGTAATTTGGCCAAAAGGAATAACTCAATAAGCTAAACCCTAAAAATCAAAGGAGAGAGTAGGTGGGTTTAGGGTAAATCCACCTCATGTTTTGAGACCAAACTAAATATGTATTAATTTATGATTACAATAATGTCTGAAAATTAACAAAAATCAGTTCACATCGACATATGTACCTCTCATGCTATTATTTCATTTTTTATTTAATATTCGGGTGATCAAAATAAAAACAAATCAAAAATTCATAATAAATTAAAAAAATGAGGATTAGTGACCTAAATAAGAATAAAAATAAAATTGAGTGATAAAATTTATAATTAAATCAAAATAATAATACGAAAGACAATAAATAAGAAAAATGCAAGAAAATGGAGAAACAAACATGGGATAGTGGGAAAAGTGTAAGAAAAAGAAAGTGGAAGCCAACTGCTAAAGTAGAAAAAAAAAACAATAAATAAAAAAGAGAGAAAATATTGGGATTAGTTCAAAATACAAAGACAAGTGGAAGGTGACAAAGATTGCAGGTAAAGCAATAAACAACACCGCCCAAGTTAAGACCAAAGTCATGTCATTGACTTTCATTATACTATTTTATTTATTTATTTATTTTTAGTTCCTATAACGAAATTGTCAGACAAACATAACACCTTCACTCCTATGGCAACAAACCAGACTGGAGTTGGTCTTGTCAGAGTATATACCTTTTTAGGGAATAAAACGATTTTAGTCCTTCAACTTGCTATTTTTTCTCAATTTGGTCTTTGAACCTTATTTATACCACATTATTTTGATGACGTGGTATTCTAATTTTGTGTCATGTGTAACAATTTTAAAGTGTCACTTCATTTCAACGAGTAAAAATAAAATAAAGAAAAAGGTTAGAAAGTTCAAGGGTTAATATAGATTAAACTAGAATAATTATTTATCACATTGTTAAAAAAATAAAGGGTAAATT